GGGGGGTCACTGTGAGTCAGAATCGACTCCATGGCACACGAACAGCAATTGAATAATTGGTTTATGGAAGTGTTTTGCAACATGAATGGAAATACATATTCAAAGTGAAGAGAATTAGATCATGTAAAACACTTAGAAGTAAAACGCCAAACTTAAGAATATAAAAGTGATTTTTTTTTCCAGTAATTTCAGTGACCCTGTGAACTGATTTTTCACCCCTGCCCTTTTCCTGCGTCTGTACTGTGTGCTTACAGAAGATAAATGACAGGTGGACAGTTAAGCAGCTAACGTGGGATCCAGGGTGTCTGAGAGAAAAACAGTGATATCCATGGGGTTGATGATAATACTTGACCTTAAAAAAATAGGGTGAGATACTGGCTTTCAGACAGTCTTCCCTGAAGGTTTATAAACCATTCCTCATATTTGCCAAGGTCACAATTTGAGGAGCTCTGTGCTGACCTTCTGCAAAAGATAGACGCGCCACTCCGTGCACTGCTGGAACAGACGCAGCTGAGAGTAGAGGACGTGAGTGCTGTGGAGATAGTTGGAGGCGCTACGCGGATCCCGGCCGTGAAGGAGAAAATCGCCAAGTTCTTCGGGAAGGACGTCAGCACAACGCTTAACGCAGATGAAGCAGTAGCCCGAGGGTGTGCACTCCAGGTACTCCCTTCTGAGTTCTTGTCTTGGTTCCCATCTCTTCAGGGGTTTCCACCGCGTTTCATTTTGGTGGCTAATGTAACAGACAGTCCTGGGCCTAATTAGCTATCACGAGAAAGTAACCTTTAAATAAACACCTAAGGATTCCTCACGGAATCGAAAGATCCAGTAAACTTAGATTGGACGAACCGCTGATCTGGTGGTGGTTCCCACCTGGGCTTAGGATCACAGAAAAGGCAGCCGCGGAGTGCTCTTCACTGGGGCAGCGGTCGTCACCGAGCACGCGGGGGGTGGGGATTAAAGTGAGAATCGGGTGTGACGAGGAGCTGATTTGGTGAAACGTGTGCGGGATTAAGAGTAGTAGTTATTGGATGGTTTCAGAAGCTAGCTCCCCATCACTGCAGTTGGTTTTAACTAGCTTATCAAATAAGAACATAGGTACTCGCAGCCCAGAAGCATGGAGTTTGGTAGAGCAAAAGCAGTACATCTACATTTTATTGATAAAAAACGTTCATATTAGCTTCTATTTAGGAATTACAGTCAAATAAGATCAAAATAGTTTTGACTCAATATAGTCAAACTAGTTTTAGCTGAAGTTTTGAGTTGACATGTTTAAATTTTGATCTAGTTGGTAGTGTTTTAACAGAGCAAGAGATTCTATAGACAAAAGTGTCAAGACTAATTACTGTCAACAGAGGAATATGTGAGTCCTTACCCATCACAATCCACTGCATTCCCGGGATCCATCGTGTTTTATGGGGTTTTTGTTTTTTCATTCAAATGGAGTGTGCCTCTCTGATGGCTGAAATAGTTGCAAGTTCATAGTTGCTAACGTATACTTCCCAAACACAGCTAAGCCGGGCTTCTCTTTGGACGAGCCCTGTGTTTGGAGGAGATGAGTTGACTTTTTCCCATGTTTGAGCTGTTCATTTGTGTGTGCCTGGTCTAAATATGAACGCCCACCTGTCTTTCGGGTCGTGTCTACCCCAAATTTGAATTTACCGTTGCTTTTTTTGTCCACTGAATTAGTTTGAAAACACAGGTAGATAATCCCTCTTCTCTGTGCCCGACATGGGTAATGAACATTTTAGGTTTTACCCTTTTTCTAGCCTTAAAACATTTGAAAGGTAGTGTGGACAGAGATGTTTGTGCGTGTATGCACGCATCCAAAAGTATACAGCTGGTGATTGAAATGTCCATGGACAGAGCACTTCCTGGAAAGTTCTTTTCAAAGCCCACATGAAACTTCCTGTTGATTAACTATCACTATCCTAAGATTATAGGAGCCCTGGTGGTATAGTGGTTAAAGCTCTCGGCTGCTTCGGTCAGCAGTTTGAACCCACCAGCCGCTCTGCGGGAGAAAGATGTGGCAGTCTGCATTTGTAGGGGCAGTTCTACTCTGTCCTCTAGGGTTGCTGTGAGTCAGAATGGACCGAGGGCAGTGGTTTTTTTTAATGCTAAGATTCATTTATGTTTATAACTAGTGATTGTCATAGTGTTTAGTTGATAAATTATTTATGCTTGGGTTACATACACTGTAAGCTGATTTTGTATTTAAATTTTGGAGTTTGATGTTAAAATATGAGTGAAATTCACGTGCACCCGATGATCCACTCTCTCTTTTGTCAGTGTGCTAGCCTTTCCCCGGCTTTCAAAGTTAGAGAATTCTCCGTCACTGATGCAGTTCCTTTTCCAATATCTCTAGTCTGGAGCCACGACTCAGAAGACACTGAAGGGTATGTAGGAGAAATAACTTCAGGTACTATCTTACTTTAATATAAAGACGCAAGATTAATAAATGGTTTTTATAGTAGAGTGTGTGATTAATCTAATCGGGACTTTTCAGCAACCAAGCCTATCAAGATAATTTTCTCCTTTCGGTATCACAGGGAGACAGGGTGGGTAAGAGATCTCAGAGCGTCTTATTTCTGTCCGTGTGGCACAGTGAAGTGAAATACCTGCAATACTGAACACTTTCCCCTGTTGGTCTCCTCTCTAGCGTCCACGAAGTATTTTACCGAAACCATGCTGCTCCTTTCTCCAAAGTTCTCACCTTCTTCAGAAGAGGGCCTTTTGAGCTAGAAGCTTTCTATTCTGATCCGCAAGGAGTTCCATATCCAGAAGCAAAAATAGGTAAAGGGTTAATTGTGTACGCTTGTTCTTTTAGTCAAGAAGACTTAGCTTATCGTTGAGCATATAAGCTTAAAGCTTTTTCTAATCCTCGCGATGCCAAGTGCAACATCTCTTCATGTGAAAACATTTTTCTGTTTGGAACAGTGGTGCTGGAGAAATGCTTCCAGCTTCAGATGAGAAAACTTGACCTCGGGATGAAATGACCTGCTAGTTGTACTGTAACTTCCAAGTATCTGTAGTTGGGAAAACAGTGATTTTCCCACTCAGGTGTAGTCTGCATTCAAAAGTTCATCACCTACTTCTCATATTAACCTTCCTTCTAGGTGTTATATTGCTTGTAGGATGTTACTGTCGTTTTAAAACTTGGCTCAGACCATGGGAATGATTTTTCAAGTGAACCTTGTATCCCAGTCTTTTCTAAAGGTGCATTGGTGTGGCCCATTTTTCTCTGGGAGATTCCACCTCCATCGGTTTTATCTGTGGTGACTGGAAACTGTGGGAGGGCTGCAGGCACCTTCCTGAATGACTGTGTCTCTCTCCCAGGCTGTGGGTGACCTGTGCCAGGACTGTTGGGTCTTTTTAAGACTCGCTCCAACCCCACGCCTTTTACAGTGACCATCTTGAGGAGCACAACCTGACCACATGTGTTTTCTTTCCTGCTAGAGACAGACTAGAGGGGCCCTGGTGGCACCGTGGCTAAGCGCTCGGCTGCTAACTGCAAGGTTGGCGATTCAAACCCGCCGAGCAGCTCCAGGAAGAGCGAGCTGGTGATCTGCTCCCATAAAGATGACAGCCTAGAAAACCCTATGGTGCAGTTGGGCTCTGTCACATGGGGTTGCTGTGAGTCCACAACATGTAAAGACGAGACGTTCTGAACTATAGATTCTGGTTTTTTTTTTTTTTTTTTTTTTTTTTTTTTGTAGTTTTCATGAGTTTATTGGTAGGAAATTTCAGTTTGAGAGATGATTGAATCTAGAGTGTTGGGATAGGGTGGAGTCGGCGCTACTTTTCCGTTGTGCACAGGATAAAATTCAAACTCTTTAGCTTAGCGTCTAATCTCCTACGTCATCACCGTAACTGAAGAACCGTTCACGTTCTTAACCATCTTCATCCCACTCTCCTGAGTATTCCTGGGTTTTCCAGAGAAAGTGCCATTTCTCTGAATGGATCTTACAGCATTTATTTCCTAAACTAAGGATTTGATACTAGTCTTGGTCTGTTTTCCAGCAACTTTCACTGACCTAGTAAGTACATCCGTGACTTTTTCTGTGTGTGGGCAGGGCCTTGAATACAAGGCTTTTAGACCCCATAGAGTGCTTTTCATGAAATAGGTTCAAACCCCTGATTTTTGGTTTGTGGTCCCTGGAGTAATAACAATAGCACTGGTAGAGATGACCGCAAACCCCGAGCGCTTGGTTCCACAGTACACGTGACTCTACACGCTTAGTCTTCGGGAGCATAGACAGGTGAGTAACTTGCAGCAGAGCACGTGGCTAGGACCTGGGGGAGCCGGATTCAAGCGCAGACAGCCCGTTTCCAGAATCAACCCTCTTAATCTCTGCTCCATGAGGTGCTGGAATCGCTCGGCTGCCCCCTTTGAACGTAGTATAGCGTTCCCTGAGAGACCGTGTGGGATTACAGTGAAGGTCGCGCTTAGCGTCATCTGCCTCTTTACTTGCTGACTGGTTTTCATGTCTAGTCTGCTGGCACAGCTAAAGAAAGAGGGTAGCAGGAGGCGGGGACTGCCTTTCATGCAGCGTTCGCCTAGAAAGTGGTTACACACCCAGCTGGTACAGTGCTCTTGCCTTTGAAGGCTCGTGGTGTACTGAGACGGATCGTGACCAGCGCAGGTGTATGGCGTACCCGTAAGTGTACTCACAAGGCTGTGTGTGGAGTGCACGTTAAAGACTTACGCCAGATTGGGCCGGTAGGGAGTAGGGGAGAAGATTCTGGAGTAGCAATAATTTGAGCTTTATTTCCTGGTTGCTGTAATTTATCTGTCTCTTTTACCTGATAGAGATTTAGATGCAGTTCTAAAACGTTTCCTTTTTGGCCTAGGCCGCTTCGTAGTTCAGAATGTTTCTGCCCAGAAGGATGGAGAAAAGTCCAAGGTGAAAGTGAAGGTGCGGGTCAACACCCACGGCATTTTCACCATCTCCACGGCGTCAATGGTGGAGAAAGTCCCCACAGAGGAGAGCGAAGCATCCTCTGTCGAAGCCGACCTGGAGTGTCCGAGTCCGAGGCCACCTGGAAACCCCGACAGTGAGGTGGGTGTTTGGGCTGCACCTTGGAGTTTGAACGTTTAGTTGACTTGATGCTAAGCTGGGGGAGAAGGGCAGGGAGGGGTTAAAATGTGGTTCTCTTCATTAATGATTTTGATCCGAATTTGGGTAACGAAGGTGATAGCAATTGCGAGATTCTGGTATAGGCGGCCTGCGGTCAGTCCTGCATGATTGACTCTCGGGAAACTGGCACGTGACGGTGGGGTTTCTCATTTGGAGGCGCTGACATGTGGAGAGTAAAACACTGACCGACGGTAAAAACAGCCAACAAAACCGACCTCTGGCGATGTAGCTACCAAATACCGAAGCTGATGTTTTTTCAGTTGTATGGCAAAATTGGCTTTGGTATTCCAGAACCTATTCACTCTTATTTACATGGTTTGCTTTCTGGGGCGGGGTGTGTGTGGGGATGTTGGGGGGTCGGTGCAGGGAGAGGCAGGAGGAGGGTGCCAAGCCCCTAAACCTTCAAACGCTAGAATGGGGAGAAGCGTCCGGGAAGGACATAGAAAGAGCTGTGCTTGTGCATTTTCACTGAGCGTTTTATTAGCATGAGTGCTAGTTCTACGTCGTCAGCAGAGCATTTAGGAACTTTAAAGTGGTTCAGCTCTTACAGCCTGTTCCTGGGGTCTGAGAACTAGCTTAGAAGAGCAGCAGGCAGTGTTTAACACGTGAGGAAAGTGTGGTAGGCCGTGGTTAGGAACTCGGTTACCGTTCTTGGAACATGTGAGGAACATTGACTCTGATCTTAGTCTACTTCTCATCTAGAAAACCTTTGCAAAGGAGGGAGTTGAACGGCCAGTGCCATATGTTTTCTCGTTTGACTGCAGAAGGCATTGTGTCAGTTTGTCCGCACATTTTGGGGACGCACGAATATAGATACGTCATGAGTGCCTTGCTTCTGAATAACCGCAGTTTCTGCCTTAGGATCTTGAAGCTCTGAGGGAAAAATGCGGCAGACTTAGGGTGGGCAGAAAGTAGTTACTTGAACATTTCCGTCTTCTCCCCAAGATGGGAAAGGCCATAGCCAGCACCGATTTATTGGGGGTTGGGAGCTAGTAAAAATGAAAATCAGGGAACTTTGAGGGATCGGTTCCCATCTTTCTCTGCAGCAGAGTTTTAGTCGGGGCTGTGAACAGCGAGCACGATAGCTCTTCTTTATCCTGAGGTCTTCGTGCAGCACACATGCGGGACCGCAGAAAGCAAGTGGGGAGAGGTGGTCTTGAGGCTCTCTAAGCTGAAATGCTGGTCCCTGGAGACGTGAGAGTTGGCTGTTGATGTCACTGTGCAGTGAGCTGAGACGGAGCTGTGTCAGGTGCATGGTGGCTGCTGGTGGAGTTAGGTTTCCGGAACTTGTTTCTGGGAAAGAGGCCTGGAACAGTAACTGTTTCTTGTGTTTCTGAGAGTTGTGTCGTACAACATCAGCTGAAGGTCTCTTACAGGAGGGTACTCGACTGCCGCCCCGTCAGTCAGATGCCTGCTCCTGTGACTTAACAGTACCATTCAAAGAATTTCTTACAGGTGACAAGTTTTTCAGAAGTCTCCAAGTGTCGTGTGTTCATTTTGCTTTTCTCCAGTACGCTTTTTCCCCACCTCGTAAGAACTGCAGGATTGAGTGTACTGTGTGGTGCCCTGTAACTTGGTAAACATATGCGAGTACTTCTGCTTTCTACATCCTTTGTGCCTGGGCTTTCATTTCAGACAAATAGCCAGCCAGACAGCAGTGACGCTGGAGCACAGCCCCAGCTACAAACCGATGGGCAACAAACCTCCCAGTCTCCCCCTCCACCTGAACTTCCCTCAGAAGAAAACAAAAGCCCAGATGCTGACAAAGTGAGTGACTCTCCAGTTCCTTCTGTTAGACAATGTCGCAGCGTGTGATCGTGAATGTCATTGAATCTGCACTGTCTCAACAGCGAGCAAACACTAAGTTACTCTCTGTAGGATTTATTTCTGTTCATCTGTGTGTTTTTCAACCAAGACCAGTTAGAGGTGCTCACACTCAACTAAGGGAATTGAACATCCGCTTCAGAGCGGAAAACTTGCCTTGATGAACTGCCACTCCACGCAGCAAGGGACTGATGACAGGATCTGTTGTCTTCCCCTGGGCAGAGGTATTTGCTGATGCTGGGGGTGGACGTAGATACACCCCAGAGCTGTGGTTAGTTTTCACTTGAAATAGATGATAAATACACGGGCTATAGGAGTTTAGGAAACTTTGTTCTCAAGTTCTCAAGATAAAATACCTGTCAAGTACAAGTAAATTAATTATGATGATTTGGCAATAACCGTATTGTGTTTCAAAGTAATTGTTTTTTTTGCGCTGCTTCCACAATATGTATTATTGGAAGTGAAATTGAAATAGCGTTGCTGTATCCTTTGAAAAATTACAGCTTCAAATCCAGCCTTGCAACCTGTGTTCAGACGGATAGTAGAAAGTTTCCATGTCACTCCAGATTGGCCTGTGCTCTGCCGAACTTCATTCTCTGCAAGTTACGTGTGAATTATCAGCCTGTCCTTGGCAGTTTTGTTTTCTTTTACATCCGGATGATAGAGTTCTTCACCCTCAGGCAGATTACAGAATTGTTCACTGGGGTCAAAGTACATTTTTCACCGGGGAGAAGTTTGCAGTTTTTAATTTACTCATGCCCTGATTGGTCCCGTGGAGTCCTAATGAGCTATAGGTCCTGACTTTGATTTCCGAAAGCCGCCTCGTGTGTCTCCCGTTAGCAGTTGTGTGGTGATGCTGGCGCGTTCCTTCCTTCGCAGATGCTAGTGGCTTAATTTCCACATCACTCTCCTGACTCGTTGGCAACACTGACCTGTGCTGATGGCATCAGTGCCCAGTGCCTGTCGTTGGGTAGAGTTTGTTCTTAGCGGTAGGTTGGACCACTAGCCTTAAGCCCTCTGGAGTACTGTCACGCACCCCTGTGCAGGAATCCTCGTCCGTGCCCAGCTGGAGTGCCATTTTGTGACACACGGGTTCCATCAGTGGTTGTACTGTCGGATAGTCTCGTCCTGGCTTAGCTGCCATGTGTGTGCTGCCATCCGTTGGTTCCACAAGTATCTGTCGCCCACCGGTGTGTGCTGGGTCTAGGTGTCACTGGATTCATTTCTTTTCTGTAGAGCACGCATTGTATATTGGAGGGAAAGACAGACGCTAAGGTTCTCCTGCGCACCGGAAGGAAGCGCGTAGGGACTGCAGCTGTTGGCTAGGCCGTTGCTGTTGGCCGACTCACAGCACTTCACAGACGGATTTTTCTGAAGTCGGAGTCTGGGAAACCTGGATTGCAGCCCCTTCTCTGTTTTGGGATATTAGGCGGATCATTCACCTTCCCGAGGCCTAGTTCTGTAAAGTGCCTAGAATTTTAACGGCCTTTATCGCCAAATCCATTGCCGTCGAGTCGATTCCGTATAGGACGGAGTAGAACTGCCCCGTAGGGTTTCCAAGGATGTAGTGTTTACGGAAGCAGACTGCCACGTCTTTTTCCAGCAGAGCAGCTGGTGGGTCGATTAGCAGCTGATCACTTAGAGCTCCCCTAAATTATCCAGCGGCTGCGATTTTTGTGCCTTACGGACTGGTGTCTTTCCATTTTTCTGTCCCAGTCAATTTGATACGTGTTACGCTTTGGTTGCCGGGTCGTCTGTTGGTACAGCTGAGTCTTCTCAGTCGCGCTCTTTGTCGTCACGTGAGGAAGAACCTGCAGCCATGGAGACTCCTGGAAAAGGCCTCGAAGAGCTGAAGGCCCCAGGAGAGAGTTACTTCTTTAGCCCTGTATTTACATGTATTAAGTTTACAGTGAATTTTTAGTGTTTATTTGATGGTTTTAAGACTTACCTCTTTCTGTTTAACAGAGCTGCTTACAAGAATTGTTACAATTTCAAGGCAGAGAGTAGGAATAAGGAGAAATATATGTGTGTGCATATGTATAGTCTCCTAAGTCAGGAGATTGGAAAGGCATTCAGCAGTGTGTAGTGTTAATGATAATAAAAGCAGGCATAATGCTGGGATAGAGGGAATGTATGTGTGTGTGACAGGAGCTGGGTAAACCTGGCCCTGCTTCCTGTGGGTCAGGAGTCAGTCCAGGTCACTGTCGGATTCTAGGCTTTCCCATCTAAACACGTGGAGAGTTGGAAGAGACTGTAGGAGTCACAAACATGGGCACAGGGGTTGGAAGGTTAAGACCTATGAAAGAAACACTGGCGTGAGAAATCCTGTTTGAAGTTTAATATGAGAAAAGTACCCTGCTGAGTTCCTGAAGGAAGGTGTGGCGTATTTCAGTTTAATTGCAGCCCCAGTTGAAAGTGGGCAGGTAGAAATAAGGTAATCTTACAGTCTTCCAGCTTAATGATTTTAAAGCATTTATTTTTACCTAAGTCATCAGTAAGGATGATAGGGAGGTGTAGTTGTTTTCTTCCCCCAAGGATTGCTTATGAATTCCCTCCCCCTCCTTGTTGTTTTTTTTTTTAACCCTCCCAAGGCAAATGAAAAGAAAGTTGACCAGCCTCCAGAAGCTAAAAAACCTAAAATAAAGTTGGTGAATGTTGAGCTACCTATTGAAGCCAACTTGGTCTGGCAGTTGGGGAAAGACCTTCTCAACATGTACATTGAGACAGAGGTAAGTACTTCAATTACATACTCTTATTTCGGAATGTACTTAGTTCTTTAGCCCTGTTACCCATATTTCTAATAGGTAACAGTTACAATTCTTTCCCATATCCCAAGTTTTATATAGTTTAGGGGATAGGATGAAGCCAAAACAAGTGGATTTTTCAGTTTAACTTTTTAACGAACTTTGTTGTTGATGATGATCCTTACTAAGGGGATCTATGCCATAGATGATTCTGTTTGGTGTAAAATTGATGCCTAGGTTCTTGAGAAGAAACTGGAGGTCGTGCTTCAGCACAGAGCACAGTACAGTTGGGAATTTCAGAACATACTAAATATTTTGGTTAACACATGTTGTGCTTTTTTGATGGTAGTCTGAAATTCTAGGATGATACTGAAATAATTGAGATTTGATTTTCCTTTACTGAGATGGGGATGGTATTTAGAAATATATTTAACAATTTTAGCTTATAGAGAATTTATTTATCTTTAAGAATGTGGTGGCAGAGTAGTTGTGACCAGTATACATTGGCCAGTGTTGAACGCAGTATGAGACAGAAGTGTAATAAATACAATATTTAAAAAAAACAAACTCAGCAGTGTATTTAGAAAATAAAAAACTTTGTAGTGTTTGTAGAGTTTTAAGATACATAGATTAGAACTGTTAATACTTGTTTTTTCTTTTGTATAATTATCGACTTGCCAACAGCAGGGTCTAGATAGTTAAAATGATAGGTGGTTGTACACTGGAGCAACCCTTCTTCTGCTTCCTGACAGGGCAAGATGATAATGCAGGATAAACTGGAAAAAGAAAGAAACGACGCCAAAAACGCAGTGGAGGAATATGTGTACGAGTTCAGGGGCAAACTGTATGGACCATATGAAAAGTTCATTTGTGAGCAGGTAGGTTTTTGGAGCTCTGCTTTTGTTCAGATAGTTTCGTACAAAGTGTTCATTATCAAATTTGACGTTTAAGTCTGAATTACAGCTTATGTAATTTGAACCTTTTTGAAACAGAAAACAATTTGAGAATAGAAACTGTATAAAATGAAGTTGTGGAGAAAGCAGCTCACTGGTGATGAGCTTGTTATTTTTCACCTTTGGGAAGAGATAACCCATCGAACATGTTCTCAGAGTCTTTGACACCACAGTTACAGAGGCTAGATAGATGAAGAAAATTCTTGCTTTTTAAGACCTCAGCCTTTTCTTATGACTGGCCTGTTGGTGGCTCTCTGTATTTTTATCCCATGAGATTTGTTCATCCTGTCATTCCGGAGTTCATCAAGCACCATTATTCCTCTTAGCCCTGTTTCTTAACTCCCAAAGTTAGGATGACTCAGTATATCCCAGAAGCACAACTCTGAAAGATGGGACTTGAAAAAAAACATTGGCTAGGTAGAAATCCAGGATGATTTTAGGGATTAATCTTGAACTTAAAAGTCATTAAAACTTGGTCTGTTTTAGCCCTAAGATCCTTGGGCTACCTTGTAATATACTTCAGCTCTGCTCTAATGTTTTCTGGGTTTCTTATGGTTGGGATTCTGCAGTCAGGATGACCCCAAACCAGGTGAGATTCCCCAAGGCAAGAGTGAAGCGTCTACCTGGTATGATTTGGCTTAGGAATGGTTTCTTCATGTGTTCAGTGGTTGGATTGTCAGCTTGTACAGCTTCCTTTTCAGGATTCGATAGTTGTGAAGGTGAACAGAAAGTTACTACTCAAGACCAAATGGTTGGGAAAGCGAGATAATTGCTGTTCCATAACCATATTTTGATGTATGGATGGACCAGAGTTGGAGTTCTGCGATATGGTATTACAGTGAATAAGAGCAGTGACTTCATCTTATCACTTCACCCTGTGTGATAAGACAAAAAGCCAAAGTATAACTTAGCGCCTGGTGTAAAATACTGTATTGAACTAATAAAGTCGGGTGGTTATTGCTCCTGGAGGATGCCTTTCAGTGAAGAGAATCCAGCTGATCAGAGTGCCTCCTGCAGACACCGGGGTGGGGAGTATTCATGGGGACTAATGCGTAGTAGCTGGGTAAAATTAGACACCTAGTGTTTCACACTTGTGAGACTGACACTTTGTCATGACATTTTTTGAAGTAAGATTGCTGCAACTCTTGATTGTCATGTTTTTTATATACAGGACCATCAGAGTTTTCTGAGACTCCTCACAGAGACTGAAGACTGGCTGTACGAAGAAGGAGAGGACCAATCTAAACAAGCCTATGTGGACAAGTTGGAAGAGTTAATGGTAAATCCCCCACCCGAATAGTAACTGTTTTAGACTACTATTATTATTGTTGGTAGGTGTCATCAAGTCATTTCCAGGTCCTAGCGGCCCCATACGAGTAGAACTGTCCCACATGGTTTTCCAGGTTGTAATCTTTACGGGAGCAGATCCGCCAGGTCTTTGTCCCACGGAGTTGCTTGGTGGGTTTGAACCACCAGCCTTTCTGTCAGCAGTCAAGCACTTAGCACTTAACTGTTCAGGGCTCCTTTTTTAGACTATAGACTTTTAAAATATTGTAACAACTATTCATCTATTACATTTTCTTTTAGAAAATCGGCACTCCAGTTAAACTCCGGTTTCAAGAAGCTGAAGAACGGCCAAAATTGTTGGAGGAACTAGGACAGAGGCTGCAGCACTACGCCAGGATAGCTGCTGACTTCAGAAATCAGGTGAGTCTCCTTGGATTCAGTGAGAAGGCAGCCGAGAGTGTCAGAAGCTAGGTGGCACTGTCAGATAGTCCGTTCTATGGACTGACCGCGCTCTTTCCATCAGGATGAGAAATACAACCATATTGACGAGTCTGAAATGAAGAAGGTTGAGAAGTCTGTTAATGAAGTGATGGAGTGGATGAACAATGTCATGAATGCTCAGGCTAAAAAGAGTCTTGATCAGGATCCAGTTGTGCGCGCTCTGGAAATTAAAGCAAAAATAAAGGTGCGTGTGGCCGCCCAATATTTATTGCTGTGTTTTCTCATGGACTCAGGTCGCAGTCATTTGAACCCTAAATATAAACATTTTCTTAAATCTTCTCCCTCATCCTGACTTAGATCGTGTTTCTTAGTTCATTGCTGCTATCACAAAATATAAAACACCTGGCAAGTTTCTTTTAAATTTCTGTTTATTCATTCCTGTAAACAAATGCATTTGTTGAGTGCTTACCATGTGCCATTGTTACACTGGGCAGCTGTAAAGACATTTCGTTTACAAAGTGAAGTCCCTGCCCCAGAGGAACTAACATTCTAGTGGGAAGGAGCCTCACAGTGAACAAGGACGTGTAGCACTTGGCGTGTGGTCAGATGGTGGCGAGTGATGTGGGTAAAGATCAGGTGGGAGCGAAGAGGGTGAGGCAGTTCTGGGCAGTGGAGCGGAGCCAGGGTGGTATTTTATCAGGGAAGTCCTTGCTGAGTGTGCAGGGCTTGAAGGAGGTTGGGAAGAAAACCAAAAACCTGCTTTCCCTCTAAAACAACATTCAAACACAATGCAGATTAATAGAAGGAAAAGTGGGCTTTTTAAGGGGTGGCCATGAGTTTGGATTGCAGCTCTTTGCTGGCTAGTTTTGTGATCTGGAAATGACCGTACTTCGCCTCTGTGAACCCTTTTCCCTTGCATAAGGCAGGGATGGTAACGCCCACCTTTTAATATTCTGGTGAGGATGACGTGGCAAAACCTCCTGCAGTCCTGCACATCCCTGACACAGCATAATACTTCTCTTTCGAGCGGGCTTCCAGCTGTGCTTTTGGACAAGAGTGAGGAGAAAATGAAATTCTTTGAACATGTATAACTGAAGTCGGCTGGAAACACACTGAGTCCAGTATTGGGGTAAATGGTGGAAAACGAACTGGATAGATCTCAGGTGATCTGATTACTAGTTGTTTGTCTTCTTAGGAACTGAACAACACCTGTGAACCCGTCGTTACCCAACCCAAACCAAAAATCGAATCACCCAAACTGGAAAGAACTCCCAATGGCCCCAACGCGGATAAAAAGGAAGAAGATCTAGAAGGCAAAAGTAACTTCGGTGCTGAACCTCCCCGTCAGAACGGCGACTGTTACCCGAACGAGAAGAGCTCCATCAACATGGACTTGGACTAGATGACGTTAAATTAAGTATTTTTGCCATAGTTATGTGATTCTACATAGCATACTGAGACTATTTATATTTTCTTTTTTAAGAATGTTTAGAAATTTTGTGTATTATATGGAAAAAGCAAAAGCTTACGTCTGTAGTCTTTATGATCCTAAAAGGGAAAATTGCCTTGGTAACTTTCAGATTCCTGTGGAATTGTGAATTCATACTAAGCTTCTGTGCAGTATTACCGTTGGCATCACTGAGGATGAAATTGCCCTTTGTCCTTTGACGGAAACAAAGCAAACTGTGCTGCTTGTTCAGGAGGGTCGGGGCCCAGTCGCCACGCGGTGGTTCCTGCCAAGGTAGTTTTGTTGCATCTTGCCGTCCGTTCCAGCATGTGTGTGGGTGTGGGTGTTTATACACAAGATCACGTCTGATTCCATAAGGGCTTTCTGAAATTAATTCTCTCCAATAGAACATGACTCTCTGCTTTGATATTAAAAGTTCAACGCGTGAAGCAAAAGCTAGTGAAATGTGTTAGCAGCATGCAGAACAAAAAACTTCTCTCTCTCTCTCGCTGTCCAGTACACTGTCACGTGAAGGTGTGAACACGGAGGAGATGTTGACCCTGTTGTAACTGACATTGTGGAGCCTTTTATGAGCTTTAAAATAAAGTTCATCTCATGGTGTCATTTCTAAACTGGTTTTGTCACTTGCTTAAAATGGGACTTTGGGGAGGGAGGGATATAAAGAAGAGTAGCATAAATGAATTTATTTTCTGTGAAAATCCAGTTTTCTTTTTTTACTGCTTTATACGTGTTATTTTAAATGAAAATGGCTTTTTCCTGATAATATGTGTTCATTAAATTTAAAAAATATAAAGTGAATATAACTTGCAATTCCAGCACCCAGAAAAAAGCCATTGTTAACAGCTTCTTACGTATCCTTAACGATACTCTCCCCTCATGGTGGATGTGTGTGTGTGTGTGACCTTGTTTTGTAGCCTGTTTGGTTTTTGGGGTTTTTTTTTGTTTTTAGCTTTGTATACCAGGCAAAGTACCAGTAAATACAGATGGTGTTAGAACTTCATGTCTGCACTGAGTTCCGTTATAAAACCTCTTGGCTATTGCCATCGAACTGGGTCTGACTGATAGCGACCCTACAGGACAGAGCAGAACTGCCCTAGAGGGTTTCCAAGGAGCGGCTGGTGGATTCGAACTGCCGACCTTTTGGTTAGCAGCCGAGCTCTTAACCACTGCGCCACCAGGGCTCTTCCATTATAAAAGAATGCAAACACTGCAGTGAATTCTTTTTGTCTGTTTGGTTATATTCTCTAATGACAGAATTGTAGTGTTGGGAGTGGGGTATGGAGCAGAAATGCCCCCTAAAAATAGGTAAGTAACCCCACTGCCCACTACATTGCAGCAGTTTATCCTCGTTTCACTACCCTGGCCCAGCTGTTCTTCACCAACCGGGGATTAATTAATCTCAGCTGTTCCCAGTCTATCATAATGGATGCTATTTAGCATCTGTGTGGCAGGCACTTTACATATACTAACGAATTTAATCCTCAGAACAACCTCTGAAGTTAAAGGGAGTTTATCCAAGATGACACAGGAAGTATCAGCATTACGAAGACAAGTTTCTGCAGTCAGGGTGCTGGACCACACTATTAACAGCCGTTCTGGAGACGTGACTTCCTTCATTTACTACCTGATGACTGCCTGCTTCAGCATTTAAACGTCTGTTTCCTGTTAGTAGTTCATGAATTGCATACCTAGCCTCATTTTTGAGAAAAATATGTAGTGATGACCTAGAATCCCCAGGGCATGGGCCATTTTGGATAAAATCTCTGATTAACAAAGGATTGAATTGTATGTTTTAATTTTTACCTTAACTTTTGGGACAATATTTCTAAGAATAATCTTTCTAGCAATAGTTAATGAACAGAATGGAACCATAAAGCCAGTTGATCATGAACTTTGGTTCTCAATGCCTGGGTTCCGCCTTGCTTTCTTGGGGTAAATCCCCAGTGCCTCATTGATTCTGATCGTTCTTGCTTCCTCATCATGAAGTGTATGTTATGGCCTGTATAACTGATTTGGACAGTGAAACAGGCCTCTACAAGATAGCCTGTAGGAAGTACTTTCTGAAAGGCTAATGAATAAACTTCAGCTACTGCGATCAATGACACCCTTGTCAGCCACACTGAAAATATTTTTTCTGCATCGTTTGCACTTGTCAATTTATATCTGCACATCAGGAACCCTGGTGGCACAAAGGTTAAGTGCTCGGCTGCTAATTAAAAGGTCAACGGTTCAGGTCCACCCAGTTGCTGTGAGGGAGAAAGGTGTCGGTTTGCCCCCATAAAGATCACAGCCCAGGAAACCCTATGGGGCAGTTCTGCTCTGTCACGTGGGGTTGCCATGAGTCACAGTCAACACCACCACAGCCTCTTTTCTCCCCCGCCCCCCTTCTCTTTCCTCGGTTAGACTCTGCCCTCTGCTAGAGCTCCTCGGTTAGACTCTGCCCGCTGCTAGAGCTCCTCGGTTAGACTCTGCCC